AGCGACAATAAGAAGCAGTGAAGAGATTACTTATTTCTTTATTTTTTTTGCTCCCTGGGAGTAATGAAGGAGGTTCCCCTCCTTCTTCTTACAATTTCTTCAATAAAAATGAATTAAAGCAGAAAAAATCCCACCGATAGAATACCACAGATGCAAGACTGTGAGTCACTCACCTACCATGCAAGTTCAGTCTTCATTTGTAACGAATAAGGCCGAGTAGAACAACGTTGACAGGTAACACCTGGAAGCCCTAACTCCACGATAAGTCTGGAGGTGGTGATTACTGCCTTGTGACCTGGGACACTTGGTTCCAAGGTCCTGTCTCAGATGAGAAGGGGATTAGAAACGCAGCCTCCCGCTTCCCAGAGTTTTATCGTGAGGACTGCTGAAACTAAAGGCAGATAGCTATACCTCCTGCCTGGCCGGCATCTGCTGCGCCCCTCCTGTGCCCGTGTCCCATTTCGGGGTGGGACTGACGTAAAGCACCGCGAGACCCTGTGCGTGGGCAGGCCCAGGAGGACGGCAACCAGGAGCTGCTGCCAAGCTCCAAGGGCCTTTGCATGCCCACTGGGACTGGCCGCACCATCAAGCAGAATTTTGTTGTACAGGGGCATTCGGTACCTACATAGCAATACAAAGGCTGAGCAGGAGATCTGAGGTTTTCTGGAGGGGGTGGAAGGGCATACATCCTAGGTGGGGTCCTGGGATCTGGGCCTAGGTCTAGTTTTTAATAACATTTGAAAATATTACCCAATAGCTTCAACTGGTCCAACTTTTCTAGGTGCTGCTAGGCTGTCAAAACTGCAGTATGATTGTTCGTTTTTTTTTCTCTAAGTCAAGTGTTGAGGAGTGAGCTGTTTTAATAGGCATTGCGGACTGCAACAACAGATGAGCTAAGGAAGACTTTTGTGCTTGTATATCTTATAGAAGAAAACACACTGGAGTGCAGGTCAGTGCCACTGCTGTGTGATTTGTTACTCAGGGTTTTGTCCATAGCAGGACTGTAACTATGTTTTGATTTGGAGAAAAAAAAAAAAATCTCTTTTTATTTAAGAGTTTTCCACTTTTCCTAGTTATCCTAAAATTGTCCATCTCTTATGAGCAAAGAAGTCACTCCGTTACCAGTTCTCTGTTGTTTAAATCTGAAATATGTTAAATATGTGTGCTAAACATTTTTCTCTTCGATCTGACCTCCTAGAGAAGCACTGCAGCTGGGCAGAGCACTCCCAGCTCTGTCAATAGGAGTGTTACCATTGCTTCAGTGGGAACAAGGCTGAGCTCATAAATCCAGGGTGAAGACATTTCTGTCTCTTCCCTCTGTTCTTAGTAGTGTTTTTGTTCTTCTCCATCCAACATCATGCTTAGTCACCATCAGCAGGTAGATTGTGTAATATCCAGAGACAAGTGTACTGAAAACAGTTCCCAAGGTCAAGGTCATAGCATAGCTCCTAAAGGAAAAATACTGCCCTAAAAGAACACCCTCAGTGGGGAGGCTGTTCTGAACTTACAAACATGTTCAGAGTTACATTGGAAAGCCAGGACAAGAGCAAGGCTCAAGAACCTGTCGCAACTCTGATTCACATTCATCCATGCAGAAAAGGGGCTTTTTATTTTACTGAACCTGGTGCCTCGGGGATTATCTTCTCATATGAATCTGGTGTCTGTAGTCCCTAATCTTTCCCAGACTCAGCACCTGCAATCCATACTCAAGGACGCTAATAGTTAGAGAGGCCTATTTTTTGGAGGTGTTGGACTCTATGGTTCCCTTTAAGATTTTTTTTTTTTTTTTTTTTTACACTGTGGTGACATTGCAATATAAATATGCATAAAAACACTTTGCACATGAAGAGAGTTGTTAACCAAAGAGTCATGTGCCATTGTCTGTACTAGGGGATGAACATTAAACAACATTGAAACTGCATACTACTTGTGCCTCTCTCGAGGCCTATTCTTTTCAAAGTATATGTATATACTGTAACAGAAAACTAGCTGTATCATTAAACTCCAGTAAACTTTAATAGATATACTTGTATGTGAAGTGCAATAATAGCAGTATAGTTTTGTATGTGTAGTTTGATATATGTAGTTAAATATTCCTTAACATCCTGGCTTTTAAAAATTGGGGACAAGACTTTATTTGGGAACATCATTCACTAGGGGATAACATGTAGTTTAGTACTATGTAGGTCTGGTTCAAGTCCCTTCATATTCTAACCTATAATTAGCAATAATACTGTTGAGGTAGAGTATCAGACACGTTTCAGAAAATCCCTGAAGCACCAATTAAGTGTATTGATATTTTCTCATGAAAGGCTATCAGAGCAATATTTAGGAAATACATGAACACCTAAATTACTGTGACATAAAGGCTATACAGTCTTTTGTATTTCTTTTTAAACATTCCGGAGAAAGAAAAGTGATTTCCAAAATCCCAAAAGCCCTTATTTTTTTTTGCATCTGTCTGTCTGATACTGCTTCAGGACTTGCAAAGACCCAAACTCAAACTCAATCCTGTGTTACCACTCTAGGCAATTTGTTTCCCTCCACTGAGGAAAGTCTCTGGGATTTTACTGGCACCAAGTGGTTCCATCAATTTGGCAAGGTGGCAGCCTTGTTCCCTGGAACACTTTCCCAGCAGTTACTGTGTTCTGAACCTTAGAAAGTTTTGCATCGCACTTGACACAAACCCAAAGACTTCTTAGATGTTAAGCAGCCCTATTCCCCAGATTCCTCTTGCATTTGATGTAGCCCAAAGCAGGGCCTGAGAAGGACTCTCCCAGCAACTATATCCCTGGCCTGCTAAGGGCTGGAACTTGGTCCATTTAACCTTCAATGACCTTTCCACTTGGCCTGGCATCGTGGAGGGGGTCAGCCTAAGTGGACAAAGGCACTTCGGGGGTACAGTAGCTGAGTCTGAGTTTTAGCAGAAGGCTGACACTGGATATCAGAGGGTATCAAATGGGCAAGCAGTGAAGAGCAAGCATGGAAGACAGGTGACTTCTGTGTCTTATTAGGAAGGAAGCCACTAGAGGCCAGATTGGAGAAGATATTAAATAGAGACATTTGAAGACCAAGGAACTGGATGGGCTCAGGCAGGAGCCAAGAGTGACTTCAAGAGGTGAGTGGGAGAGAGAGAAGCAGAAGCAATATCAAGACTTTCTGAGACCAGGATGAGAAGCCTGAAGAAAGAACAAGTGGAGCTGGCTATCGGGGAAGGTACAAATAAACAAGAGACAGAACTGGGTCATTTGGATTAAGCATTGGGTCATGTGGCCAGAATAATCTGTGCTTGTCCCAGGGGTAGAGGAAGGTTTTACTCTAACCTTGCACTTGCCTGATCTTAGTTCAGCCCCTGGCACAAATCATAGATGCTGATGAAATGCCTGCAAGCTCAAGGGGAATAGCAGCACATCTGCAACCATGCCTATTTTATCTCAAAAGCAGCTTGGGATCTACATCAGCCAGGAGCTCCCTGGTTGCCAGAGGAACCTGTAAGGGCCAGACAAGCAGCCTGGGTAACACATACAAACAAATACCAGAACATTAACTAACCATCAAACCGAATGAGCATGCCTTGTCTGGTGACCTGAGGGGCAACTTCACCCCTCTGTCTGGCTACCGCAAAAAGCCAGCTCTGAGGACAAGGCTGTTCTCCTGAGACACTTGGAAGAATTTGACTTCAGGAATCATCAGCAAAAACATCCTAATTCCTTTTAAATCCTGAGAGAGGTTGTAAAATTCTTGCATATCTGAGCATAACACAGCTGCTATTGGTTAGCCTGTCTCATAATGTTGGTTTGGGCTGTGCTTCTGCTTCTCTGCTGTCCTGGACATGAGATACTACAAGATTCAGTGTGAGAGAAGGAAATGCAAAAGCTTCCCTTGCCTCCATCTTTAATTTGCAGCTTCTTTTGAACAGGACCTCTCCTCTTTGGAGTAATTACATAGTGCCTGGGACAGGCTACAAAATGCATATAGCCAGGAAGGTGCATGTGCTAGAGCCACACATGTGCAGGAGTATGTGCATGCACATGGTAAATCTATTCTGGATCTCTGCTGCTGACACCCCACAGATCACGCAGAGGTGTTAAACCCTGACTAAAGAGTAAATAACAGATACCAGTAGGACCTAACATAAGCATTATGCTTTTCGCATGACTTTTTGACCGGTGCCTCAGAAAGCACTGCTGTGAGCTAAATTGCCCTTTGCCAGTACAACTGTCAGGGAAGACACCCTTCTTCCCTCACCCCTCTCCCGGCCTCCATGCAGCAGCTACAGGAAAAAAAAAAAAAAAAAAACCAAACAAAAACCACCAAAAAAACCCAACAAAAACCCCATACCCCCTCAGAGCACACAGCTGAGCATTAAGGATCTTCAGTGCAACAGCAAGGTGCATTTACAATCCAGGGCTGGGGCAAACTCATTTTGAGCCAAAACTCCAAAACAAACTGTCATTAATTAGTAATCTCTAGAGAGTGGCCTCCCTCCTTGGTGCCTCTCGCTATTTCTTCATCTCCCCAGCTAACAGCAAAAACATTACCGATTGCATCAGCTCTGATTACTCTTTAGATGAGGAGATTCTCCTTTGGCTAACCAGGATTACACTCTGTATGGCCACTAGGACTTTGTCACTTAAGGAACATTAGCAGTCCTAGAAGATTTGAACAGAACACAGAAGAGTATGGTCAGGAAGAGCTGTGGCAGGATGAAGGATGATTCTTACACCAAAGTTCTCCCTCCTTTCTTTGTTCCAGGCCTTCAGCCATTATAAATTAACATTGGCTCTCATGTAGAAGCACTTCTTAATTTGTACCCAACTCCTCCTAGATTTAAGGGGGGGTGTAAAAATCATAAACCAACCAAACAAACAAGAAAATAACATTTTGGAAGGAAAGAGGAAGTCTAACAGGCACTATAGTCAGGTGTGTGATTAATAAATCCTAGAACCAGCTATTCACACAAGAAGGATGTAATAGCACTAATTCCATAGGTAGTTCAGTCAAGCTTCTTCAATTGTCAGTTCGTGTTCAGTTGCTTCCTCAATGTTTTTAAGTTGACGAAGCACCCATTCTTTTTGTCTCTTTCTCTGTTACAGGAAAGAAAATATTATTTAGTCAACCTAATCCATTCAGATGCCACCTGCTTTAAAAAACAAACAACATATACAAAGGCATTATGAACCCAACTGAATTTTGGCTGGTTTTCTATTTGTTTTAAGCTAAGAAGCCTTAGCTTAAAGCTAAGAAGCCAGAGTGGGTGAGTTTTCCTGAGTTTCCAACCCACCCATGAATAGTATGGTACAAGGGAAGAACCAAACCAGAACAGAATTTGATGTCGTCACAGCAACGTGAGCTGGCTTTCAGAGTCTAACTCTGCTGCCTCCCTTTTCTTTTGTAAGCTTTCCACAGGGTTCTTTCCAGTAATCAGAGTTCTAGAAAACTGAGTTCTTGTGCTCCACAGAACAGAAAAATAAAGTCCTGCATTAGGTCTATTAATCTAAGCTTTCCTCAGGAAACCCTATGCTAGTCAAAGGACTGCACAGATGCTCCCATTTGCAATGACTGGCATTCTTTTTATAAAGCACTAAAATTCGGATTTAAACAATGAAATAAGAATATTATTTGTTTCTCCAGTTTTAGTTAATTTGCCAACATTAAGGAACTTGAGAATTTAAATCACTGATTTCTTCCATTCTTAAGTTTCTCTTAAATAAATCTATATTTAAAAAATGTACTTTTGCACTTGTGTACACAACTAGTCATGCAAGCTCACAAGCTGAAGCAAGTTCTAGTTTGCAAGACTGTATCCCATGCAGTCTGTGATTAGGAATGATACCACAGAGTCTAGCAGGCTATGATCCAGTTCATAAATACTGATTCTCACTGGTAAAGCTGTGAAAGTGTTCCATAACTACCATTTTCCCACATTACTAGGAAGACTTGTATATATTCAGCATTGGTAGGAAATTGTATAGTTTAGCTATTTCATAACTAAGGGAAAGCCATTACCACAAGAGCTTTATCGGTTTTCTTCTTTCTATTTTTTACTACTGGGACATCTTTTATCCCTGGTATTCCAGTAACAAGCCATGAAGGTCCACTCTTGGGGCTTACTGCAGCGTCCTCATATGCTTTGGTGGGAGCTTGAGTTTCCACATTTAGAACAACCTTGTCACTTGGCTCTTCATTTGATTCATCTGAGGCCAACACCGTGGAAAGCCTCCTTCTAGAAAATACAACCTGGGAGCTTTGGCTTATCTCTTGGTTTAGTTCTTGTGAGTCAAACACTGTTGAAAGCCTTTTCGGGGACATATGAGGGATGTATGCTTCAGCACCTACTAATGATACCCGAGATAATGATCTACTTAGATTTGATTTTGGCACTGGAGATCCATAAACTCTCTTACTGACATCTTGGTACTTGATTGACTGATTTGTCAGATCTGTAAGAGATGGCATTGTTCTTGAAAGCATCGAGTCCACTGGAGTGCTGTGTTTCACCATTTTCTTTTTCAAAGATCTTTTAACATTCAGAAAAGAATCTTCTTCCTCTGACATTTTGAAGTCAAGGTTATTGCCTTAAGAAAATAAGAAGATAAAATTATGTCATTGCTCACATAGCAAGAGATGCTGTGTAAGGTGTTAAGCTCCTGCAAAACCAAATTCAAGGTGTTCCTATTTTCATGTCTGCATTCTGTATTTACATGGAATTTATCCTTTGCATAGATCAGTGTTCTTCAAGGGTTTGGAAGAGCCATGTTGGAAACAGTTTGTTACATACAACACTTACTCTTGTCCCTGCTCTCTGCACGTGGAGCTCCATGCATGCTAGAGTTTTTTAAAGATATATCATTAACTGCAACATCATTAAGACAGTGTTTTCTCCTTCAGAGTACATGAATAATATACTTGCAGGGTTGCAGCTGCTAACACTGGGTAGGTAAATGAAAACTGTTAGATGCCAGAGGAATTACCATAGTATAGCAAAAATTGAACTGCTTTAGGGATGGGGGGAGAAGTTCTGGATTCAAGCAAAGCAACTTAGTCCAACTGCCATATTGTTTCTCTTATTTTCTTAAAAGGGAGTTCACAAACCTCTCACTCTCTCCTACTTACTTGACGTTTGGCTTACTTCTGCTGATCCTAAACTAAGAACTATGTTCTGTGCAAGCCTGTTTTCAACTGAATCTACAACAGTGGCAATGTTGTTTTTGTTGTTAGTGTTTCCCCTACCCACTTGCCAACCCCCAACAAAAAGGCACTTGATTTCTTACACACGAAGAAGCCTAAAATAAATATATTCAGTTTAAGATACATTTAACATACATATCTTAATTAGATGAGCAGTTAAGCACTCCTAGTAACTGTTGAACTCTACTTTCATGAAGCAGTTCGGATATTCCATGCAGATTGATTGCATGAAGTTCATCAAGGGGGACAGTATGCTTCAAGTGCCCCTGTTCTAAACCCTGTTGATCAAAGGCCTTGGCAGGAGTTGGGGGGGCAGACATGGGATGACAGGACTATGATGAAAGGGGGTACAGCAGGACGGGGAGATGCGTTTGCTGAAGTAAAAAGCATCAGCTCTCCACTCCTTGTCAGTGTTTTTCACCTGTGTAGGGTCTGAGTTTGTTTCACCTCCCCTTTGTATTTCTAAAGAACAGGAGGCAAGAGCTAGAGCACTGAATCTTTAATACAGTGAGAGTCAGGTGTTTTGAGTTTTTTTTGTTTTGTTTTTTTTTTTTTTTCCTTCTTAGAAAGATATTGGGGGGGGGGGGGGGGGGGGGGGAAGAGGGAAGAAAAACCCCTTGTCACTTTTATTTAGATACCCATTTCTCCTCTCCTTAGCAGTGCTAGCTTGTGTGACACATTATAATCAGCACTCAGTCTACAGACTCTGCCTTTTTCCTTTCCTCTTCAGCCAGACTGACATCCCTTGGTCTTTATCACAGAAGCTTACTGGCAGTAAACTTGCATAATTAAACTTAGAGAGGGAATAAGGACCTTGCAAACACCCCCACCCCTCCACAAGCCCATCCTCAGTTATACATTTTAATGCTTACTCATTAAAGTCTAGATGGTCAATTAAAAGCTATTTTTGATTTGGAGTTAGTTTTTAAATAATGTTTTCAGCTAAAATTTCTGAAGAAAACAGCAAAATGTATTTTTTTTCCACACCTTCCTATGATTTAGAAATATATTTATAAGCAACAAACTTTTTTTCTGCTCAGTTGTTTTAATAACACCATTATAGTTAAAGGAGGGGAAAAGCCTAAAAACAACAGAGAGATAAACCATTTAAGAACGTCAGAGTCTACCGTGGAGAACATAGCTTGCAGCAACTTTGACAAAAAGAAAACAGGCTTACCAGCTCTCCCAGGTTCGTGTCTGATACCTCCCTCAGGTGATCTGGCTTCAGGTGCTACCTCACTTTTTATAGCCCTGCAAGCCTCCCAACATCTTTTGCTGCAGAGACTCCCTAAATCACACATACAGCATTATTTAAGGAGTTTCAGTAGTGCTGCTGACTGAATAAACTACTAAATAGAAATCAAGGATGAATTAATCATAGGAAGATGGGCTAGCCAGCTTATCTATTTGCTGTTTATTGCTATTTAATCTCTGCTGCTTGCTGCCTATTTCACTCACAAAAATACATCTAGTGGTTAATTGGCTTCACATGGCTGCTTAAGGCACACTGAGGATCTGTCACAGGGTGGATGGATGGTGATGGATGTATGTATGGTGATGGAGTGTATCTCTTCCCATCCTGATTTTATTTTCTCACTACTTTTCTTGCCCAAACAGTAAATGAGTAAACAAATGTTAAATCTGCCATGAAAAAGCTCTTCTTTAGGAAAACAGGTAGTGAGAATAAACTGAAGATTATTTTGCCGCAGTCTGAATTTCACGGTGTTTGCAGCTAACAACTGTGGAAATGGCGGAGTTTGATCTTGAAGCAAGTGGCTTCAAAACATCCGCTGTCAGACGAGGGTTGCAGGGGTTAGAAATGGTATGGTTCAGGTGCAATTTTTGTCGACAGAGAAAAGCAGCTGGACTGCACCAGCCCCGCTCAATTGCAAATCAGTTCTGTGGTGGGTGGCAGCAGACAGCTGCTGTCACACGCTGTGGAGCAAGCACAGGCGTGAGGGAGCACATATTGGGGTAGCCCCTTTTGACAAAGCATGACCTGTGGACCTTTAAAATCTCAGCTGATCAGACAGACCTAATTTCAGGGCTTTATGGGGGTAACCCGAGGGTGTAGAGAGCAGCTGGTGCAGACAGAGAGGCTAAGGGCTGATCTCACTGGGATTTCAACTTGTGGTTCCAGGGAGTCTGGGCATTTCAAACCTAATCATAAACCCCCCTCTCTTGCTGAATTAATAATTGCACTATGAATAGAGAATTGGAGCTACCAGTTCAATATTTAGGAATAACAGTCTGTCAGTATATGGGGAAAGTTGCTAGGTTTAAATTATGTGCCCCTAAGGAACTGAAAGAGAGCTTGAGAAATGGAGGCACTTTACAATCACATGGATTGCACAAGTAAACATCCTGGAAATAAATAGGCTCTCCAGGATAAGCTATTTATTTCCTAAACTCCCAGGGGAAGTTCCTACAGGAGTATTTTGAGAACTAAACAAAAACTATTTTGAGATATTTGTGGCTAGGCAAAAAAAAAAAAAAAAAAAAAAAAAAAAAAATTAAAAATCTCAGTCCTTTATAAACACAGAAGAGGCTAGACCAACCCTTACCTCATTTTGAATATTAGTAGTTAGTTTTCAAACTAGTGGCCTTGTGGCTTGGTGAGCAAACCCACCAGGTCAACCATATTGTACCTTGTAGAGCTTGACAAGCCAGTTCCTTATATAGCACGGAGCCGAGAGTGATGTCTTGGCACAGTGGTGCAATGTTTGCACTGTCCTGCTATGTCAGTGGGACATAACACTGCCTCTCCCAGCAAGGCAGTGGTGCAAACAACTCTGTGCAGCACAAACCTGCATGGGGAGCTTTTTGGTGGGTCTGAGCAACGTTGACGTCATCTCACTGGACCCCTTCAAAAACTCCTGGCCTTGACATCCAGCCTGTGCTTTTCCCTCCTCACCATGCTTGCCCTCACTTTCTAGTGTAGCCTTTTCATGTCATCTCACAGTCTACCAGTGCTGTCTGTAGCTGCATCGACTTTATGCCTACCTTCTACGGTCTTTTCCTACAAACCTCTTAAAAAATAACCTTTTCCTGCAAAGCCATTACTTGCTGTTTCCTCTGGTTCCTTGTCAGATGTTCTCGAGATATAAATTAGGAGATTTGCAAATTCTTCTCACTGTTAACCATGGCTTCTCTTATGTCCTACAGATTTAGCTTTTTATGAAGTGGTGTCAGGATGTTACGGGGAACAGGAAGGACATAACTATGCAGAGATCAGACAGAAAAGAGTCCAAAATGAATGTAAGTATGCAGAGCTCAGCAGATCAGCTGCAGTGATGATATTAGTTTGGCCTTGGTGTATTTGTAGCCCGGACATGAAACACCCAAGCTCTGGCATGAGTGGTACTTTGAAGGCTTCTTGCATCTTTCAAAGAATGACACATACTGTGTCCTGCGCTCACACCTCTTCATTGTGAACCATTCCTTCATTAAAATGACAGTCCTTGATATGACCGTCTTCCTTCTCATCAGTTTCTACCTGATATTTTGGAGCAATAACTCTATGTCTGGATCCAGCTGTTTGGTCTACGTTTACACGTCTTCCTCTTTTTTGCTACGTGATGCAAGATGGCACACAATTCTAGCAATATTATTATGCACCTCTGCATATACTATATCAAACCTCCCACTGCTTTATGTTTATGGCTTGAAAGATTATTTTGTTGATCTCATTTTAGGAGATAACTTCATCTCACTTTCTAAATTAGTTCAAAAAATACAAAAACTACATAGGAAATTATTTAAACTTTTTTACTGTGTTCCCTTGTGGGAAACATTAATGCTTAATATTTTTACTTCCAAAACCAACAGAAGTGGGAAAAACAAGAACAGCACAGTGTTTTGTTAAAATTTCAGCCCTTTCATTCCCGTTCAAATGCATGAATTCACTTCAAACACATGGGAGTTTGAGGAGGCCTCATCTGGAAGAGCGCGAAACTGGAATTATTTTTCAGTTTACCAAGGAGTAACATAAATACAGGGACATAAAGAGACACCTAGTATTCTGGTCTAATCTGAGAGACTGTTCTTCTTCAATTGCTGCTCTATTAATTTCTTCATTTCCCACTGTGATCATGTTGCCAAACAATTCTCCTGAAGGGAACTTGGATGCTGAACCAACCCTTGGCTCATATGCTTCCCTAACACATTATATTGAATTGTATATTAGTTCTAGTTTGTGAAGTCACAAATCTTGCAAAATTGTCCAAGCAGTTAGGAGCTAGGGGCAGTCTTTTGTGGGCAGAGCAGTATCAGGAATCCTCCCAGCTCTTGCAACTACTCTGGTGGTTTTGGTGGAGAGGATGGTTCCACAGAGAACTACACAATAGGCAGTAGGAGCTGGTAAGTGGAGCTCAGCACCCTACTCCGTCTGATGACCCATGGTAGGGCGGCTCTTTTTTGGAGAACTGGAAGGAAGAAAGAAGAGCCAGGAGAATAGAAATGGTGGTGGGGAGCAAAAGGAGGGTAAAAAGAAGAAAAAGAAATGAAGAGAGGGACACAGAGGTGAAAATGCTTTCCTAAATTTAGAGCCACGTGGAAAGAATACATTGGAAGAAAGATTAAAGGAATAGTCAAGATAAAAAGTAAAATGAAAGGAAATTAAACAGTATTTCCTAAA